ATATGTTATGAAATGCTTCCATGCCGCCTGGTCGGGATCTAGATAGCGCCGTAGAATGGACAAGCGGAGGGCGGTAATTTTGGGGCCTAAACGGTGGATGTTAAATCCTCCTTGATCGCGTGGGGTCGCCAGTGTCTCTCGTTTAACCAGGTGCATTTTGTTCGACCAGGTGTGATGACCACTACACTATCAGGACAATCATGCTGGTAACACGGCAATGGAAGATGTGATTTACGTGATCGGAGACGTGGTCTCCCGGGAAACTTAATTTTCAAGGGAACAGGGTAGGGGAAGCCTATAACCCCATATGAAAACCCAACTAAGGATCTATTAAAGATACACGACCGAAGTAAACTTAGCGGATGACAAAGGAGAATCCAATTACGGATACAGGCTAATTTCAATTAAACAAATTCTGTATACGAGGGAAACCCTGACCCTGTACACCCCAAATAATCATACTTAAATAGAATAAATGTTTGAAAAGAAAATTTGCCCTGAGCGGGATATATAAATATATATATACATATATATAAATACATTTAGGATAAATTTTCTACCACAGTGACTACAAAATTTAATGTACATTGTTTCAATGGTTCATGAAGCTATTTGTTGGAAAACTGCAGTGAATTTAAGATCAATTCAGAGAAAAAGGTAACATTTTCTTACTCGTATCCAAACACTTTCTGATATCTAAGTTGTCAACTATTTCTTCTACCTGCAATTTAGAAGAGGTTCACATATTTAAAAAAAGGCCATTAAAACTAAGAAACAAAACCTTCAAAGGATCAGTTGCGGAGACATGTTTATAATAAGCAACACTCCTTATTCATATTGAAGGACCTACCAGTTTCTAATCAAAGAGAGAATTATAAGGACAAATAGTGGAATGAGAGCTAGAGTAAAGATGAAGAATTTATGTACTCAACTAACTGAGATAATATACCTTATTCATTTTTTGCACCTTTGACATGGTATCCGGCAGACGGAGCATTGCAGAAAACTGAGAAAGAATAACACATTAAATTAAGTTTATCAATTACAATACAAGCAAATCATCCAAATTCATAGGAACAGGGTAGCTTCATGAGCCTAGTAATGTCACATAGAAAAAAAAATTGTTGTCTAAATCATTCTTACTGTTAGAGTTTCTCGTAGGGTGAGGTTTGCAAAGAAAATATCATCTTGTAAGACATAACAAATTTTCCTTTTGAGTTTGCGGTCAAGTTTCTTCCCATTCAGAAGAATTTCACCCTCATCAGGAGGCAATCTTCCAGCTAGAGTATTCAGCAGTGTTGTTTTTCCGGAACCTGCAGAAGTAATTATATAATAGAGAATAAGTTAGAGAATTTGCAGCCTTAATTAAGCTTATGGCCCTCGCACTCAGAGGGTGAAAGGAGATGAATCAATTAATTCAAGGACCAAATTAAATGCTCTTTTAAGGACCAAATGCTCTTTCAGAGGGTCCCCCATACCCCTTTGCAAAACTCAGTTATGTAAAAATATTTGGCCTTTTCACCCATCATGAATAATGTCCAAAACTCTTTCACATTCATGTGAAATTTGAGGCTAAATATTTTAGAATAAATATTTTTACTTTTTCTAATCTTGACAAGTCACATGCAACAAAAGATGACCTGATGTCTTGTTTATTAGTGGTCTGTCATCACGTAAAACAAAATTTATTGGTTTACAAATTGCATTTAATCCAGCTCTTGATTCATGGGTCACATTTAAATAAAAAAAACTCCTTCACATGGACATGAAAACATCTTATTATCTTCAATCATGACCCACAAATAATAAAAAAAGTCAAATCACAATTCGTAAGTAAAAGAACCATCCAATCATGCTTCACGTAAAAAGTATAGGGGACTTTCTGTGTAGAGAAGATGGAGAAATAAATGTGTACAGGAATATTTTATCAGAGAGTTCAGAGTTCCAGCTTCTGCTACTTCAGGAGAAATATGGAGATTTGAAATTTTGGACCCAGCAAAACAGAAATCTGCACTGAGTAACTGAATCACTTCAATCATACATATTCATGATGTTGCACTTAGTCCAAATAAAAACATTCTCAAAAATTCCACCATCTTTGACAAGAATTAAGGTAAAATCGACTTGATTTGTCCTCTATCAGAAATATCACTCCTTCACTGAGTTGTGGCTTTTGGATGGCAAACTACTTATTCCAAATTTTCTTAATCTTTCAAAATAGACCGGTTCACGCTCTTGAGTGCATGCTGGGTAATTAGGGCAAGCAAATCCAAAATGGCGGATACGAACAACACTCTTTTGCTCGATCTGAATACTTATAGTTCAATATAGAAGTCACAGCTACATTTTGAGCTCTTTATGTTATTGCCATCTCGCTCAAAAGTCGTTGACAGTTCAATATCCCAACAACACGATCATGGCCACGCACCTCGAAGATTTTTTGGAACTTTCATGTGGGGAATTGCAGTTTTATCTTAAACAGCGAGGTTTGCCCTCTGGAGGGACACACTCGGATCTTGCTGCTCGTGCTTTGGTAGCTTTTGAACATAAAACGCCTATTCGAGATTCGGCCGAAAGCCAAGCCAAGTCACTACAAAATGAACATGTAGAACTACTACGCACATGCGGTATAAAGGATCCGTTATCCATGGTCGATTGGGAGGACTGTGTAACAAAGTGGCCGCATACAAACATTGGTCAAATATTCTCGTTTATACTTGGAAAAAAAGCTTTCGACACTGACTATATTGGTCAATATAAAATCAGAAAAGCGTATTCATACTTTAAAAGTGGTTTTGTGCACACTGTATACTCAAAAACAATTCATGGACAAGACAAAGTTCTGTTGTTTGCATCTGTCACTCCATCTCAAAGAATTCGCGAAGAACCTCATAAAGTGTGGATAATTTGTAAATCTCCCGGTGAAATTCTTGGGGCATATTGTAGCTGTACAGCTGGATACAGTCAGTGCTGTAATCATGTCATAGCCCTTTTATATAAAGTTGAGTTTGCCAACCAGAAAGGTTTCACAGATCCTTCCTGCACAGATAAGGCATGTGTGTGGAATAATACTAGCAAGAAAGACATCCAACCCATGAAATTAAAGGACATGGTGTTCCAAAGCCACAAGGTAGTCAAAGAAAACCCAAGTTATGCTATTAATAGCAAGGAAAAACAGAACTTTGATCCTCGGCCAGAATCCTTGAGGGTTGTTACCGAAGAAAGCAAGCAAAAGTTTCTAGCTTCTCT